AGAAACGGTATGTTAGAAGCAATCCATCTTTGAATTCGGCACGTTTACGAAGCTTCGACAAAGTGGGCCCAGCAAACAGGGGGGTTCACGGTGGGTTGCCAAGAAATTTCATCAAGGTTCTGTCTCCGTAAGGCTTCAATTCGTTTCGCTCGCTTTAAATATTTTCTCAGTTTATTTAACGTGGCAAGACGCGAATGTGTATAGCGCACGCCTGAAGAACGGAAAGCTTTGTGCTGTTATTTTTTAATTGAGTACCGGGTACGGCATGATTACGTCACACAACCTCGTTTGCACGTTTACTATTAACAAAAAATGGTCAAAGTGCAGGCAAGCTGGTGTAAGTTTAACATGATGGAAAACTTAATATATGAATACATGAAAGCTTGATGGAACATCGAGGACAGGGACGGAAAGAGTACTTCTTTCAAGAAGTCCTGTATCCGTCCACGTCCTTGATGTTTTATCCTTTCATGTATTCGTATCTATTCCCCAACACGCTCATTTTCAAGTATTAAACCTGAGACTGAGGTAGGAAAAGGAAAACGCAAAGGAAAAACGGCAACGTCTCAAGAGACGTTGCCCGTTCTTTTTTTGTGTCCTTTTGCGTTTTGCTTTTCCTACGCCAATTTCAGATATATCATCATGTTCACATTTACTGTATTTTAGTTAAAAGCAGAATGTCCCGCCGTCAAATTGATGATCCGGCCACCTGACACGGGGGACTCTCGTCATAGGCTTTTGAAAGCAGGGCAAAAAAGGCGGGGTGTTTGACGTCGGGTGCTTTCGTGCAGGACCCGCCAAAGGCTACAAGAACTTTATAAAATTTGGCATTTTAACAATGTTTGTTCCTATTTGTGCAACTTCTGCTGCGCGATGGTGAGGCATGATGACGACTATGAAGCCAAGCCGCGAGAATACCGGAGGAGTCAAGCATAACCAGCACTGTCTGAGCGTCCGAGCGGGCGAGAGAGCCACCAAAAATGGCGCCTTTCCCTTTCCTCTCCTCTCTCAGAGTCGGCGCATGCGCCCAGCGATCTCTGAAAAAAATCAATTGAAGCACACTCTTGTTGACTACATACTTGAAAACCCGAGCCTTTCGGAGGTTTCAGATCTTAAATATTCGGAGATATACATAGTCTACCTTTTAAGCTGCATGAAGCACATTACCTGCGTATATCAACCTCCTCCTTAATTTACTAAAAACTAACTTCATGAAATACAATATTAAAAATATATGTTCCTAAATTATAAATATATTTTTCGGCAGTTGCGGGATGATGCTATCGGGCTTCGGGGAGCCGTTCACGAAACCAATCTCTACGAAGTTAAAAAGGATTGAGGATAGAATGGGCAGGTTTGTAAATCGCTAACCAGATGACGTCAGTGGCTGATCTACTTCAGGGAGCTGGTCTGCCATTAGTGACGAAAATAAATTGAGTATTCCAATAAATATGCGTACGTCAAATCACATATAAGTGACTTGACGTATAGGGGGTGCGAGTGTTCCAAAATGCTTGTTTGGCGAATGCAACGAGGAGCACGCCTATCAAACGGCAACACACGGAAGGCGCAGCCAATCGTGCAGCGTTCTTGGTTCAGGTCGAGGTGCTCAAGGAACAGACGAAATTGCACGCCGTATAGTGGGGCCCAATAGTGGAAAGGAATACCTATTTTTCTTACCTGAATAATTAAACTATACGCACCACAGAAATCTGCAACTTCGTGTGACGCTATAGCGGTGGTGACAGAATGGAAGTTTGAGTTTAAACATTACCAGAATCGAAACATTCAAAACAAAGACATTTCTCGTGAGCGGACGTCGAGTTATTGGTAAAACCAACTTTCAAGAAATGTAATTGTCGGCGCCTGTGGCATTAATTTCAGCTAAAATAACCTCGTTTCATCACGAATAGAAGCAAGACTGTCCTTTTTGCTGCAAACCCAATGATCGAACAAATCCACTCAATTCATGGACTGGAAAATTTTTTTTTTAGTATGGGTATACGCGAAGGCGTCTTCCCACTATATTATGGACGTTAGCTTAATGCTTCCTCTACAGCAAACAATAAAATAAAAGAAAGCGCTGTCACATTGTCCCGCTTTAATATCCCATCCAAACAACATCAGCGGCAGTAACCTCTGAAGTTCCAGCTCTATCACAATTGAACTGCCATTGAGCCTCATTCCCGCAAGTAGGAGTCGTTGTGGTTGAACTTTAATTATAATGAAATTTTAACGACAGCATCGGAAGTGTTCTGAAAATGGGAGTTAAGGACGACAGGAGGAGGAAGGGTGTTGAGATATATATTCAGCTTTTCGAGCATCAGCTATAACAAAAACTAAATTGTTTCGTCTAAATGCAACCAATCTACTTAGGAGAAGCTAAGTTTATGGTAGTCCTCTTGCCTGAAAACGGCACGCGTCTTTATCGCCAAAATCATGAGACGCATGGAATGCACTACTAACGCATGAAATGCTTTTTAACAGAACCCCCAATCCCAAAGTTGCGTCTGTCTGTCCGAATGCCTGAGCCTTTTCTGCTACATTTAGCTTGAAAACTGAGATCACGTGACCGATATACCAACTGAGAAAATTAACATTACGTGAGCTATTCATCAAGTCAGTTTCCCTGCTAAATTTAGCGGGAGTAAAAAAAAAACAAGAGGATATTTTCATAATGCAATTATTGCAAACGTGCAACCGAACTGGGCAAGAATTACGATAATAATCCCTGGAGAAGGCTAACAAGGGGCACAAAGGACAAACACTAACCTTCAAACACAGCTAGGGGACTAGTGCGCGACCGAAAAAATCCGCCTGGTTTAGGTATCGAACAAGGCACCTCTCTGTTTCCAGTGGCTACCAACTGAGCTAAGCAGGAAATATACGTCAGTAGAGCAAACGGGTTTTATATAGGGAGCCTTCATGTGCGCTTTGCTGGGGTGATGCCACTTTTTGCAATACCAGTCGCCGACAAACCAGCAGCCATTTTAGTCCTCGGCGACAATCAGTGTACCTATTAGCGGCGAGATGTTTTGGTGGCGCCCTCCTATGGTTCCCCCTTGTGACGTCATTACCTTGCAAATAACAAGTTCGATGGTGTTTGTAAATAGCATGGTGGAAGCTTGAAATCATTGCGCTCTCAAAGGAACACTGCCAACACCGTCAAAATTAAAGTTCTTTCATTCCTCTTATTTCCGTCGATGACAAATCCCCTTTCCTACGTCATAGTCAGCGTTCGGCCAATCGTGGAAGGCCGACCACAGCGACGCTTTCGGTCGCGCACGGGGCTAATAACCCTCCCGGAAGCAAGCACCTTATCTCACAAGTTCGGAGCAGCCTTGTGGAACCCACAGAGGGAGGATTAGCACTTCCCTCCTCGGATGGGAGGACCGATGGACACAAAGGCCACTTTCCGGCGCACGGGGAAACAATGAGGAACAAAAATGAAAGCCGTTTACAACTCCCTGTAACACCGAATTGGAGCGCAGCTCTTGAGGAGGAGGAGGGAAGGGTACTGAGGGTTACCTGTTCTGGGGGGGGGGGGGTCATGTGACCTTGGGGGGTCACGTGGCCCCCCAGAAAAATGTTTCCGCTAGATTTAGCGGGGAAATTTTCCCGCTAGAGTTAGCGGGTTAATTTTTCCGCTAGATTTAGCGGGGCATTTTTCCCGCTAGATTTAGCGGAGAAATTTTGCCGCTAAATTTAGCGGAGAAATTTTTCCGCTAGATTTAGCGGAGAAATTTTTCCGCTAGATTTAGCGGGAAAATTTTCCGCTAGATTTAGCGGGGAAATTTTTCCGCTAGATTTAGCGGGGAAATTTTTCCGCTAAATTTAGCGGGGAAAATTTTTCCGCTAGATTTAGCGGGGAAATTTTTCCGCTAAATCTAGCGGGGAAATTTTTTCGCTTTAGCGGGGAAAATTTTCCGCTAGATTTAGCGGGGAAATTTTTCCGCTAGATTTAGCGGGGAATATTTTCCGCTATATTTAGCGGGAAAAATTTTCCGCTAGATTTAGCGGGGAATTTTTCCCGTTATTTAGCGAGGAATTTTTCCCGCTAGAGTTAGCGGGGAATTTTTTCCGCTAAATCTAGCGGGGAAAATTTTTCCGCTATATTTAGCGGGGAAATTTTTCCGCTAAATCTAGCGGAGAAATGTTTCCGCTAGATTTAGCGGGGAAATTTTTCCCCTAGATTTAGCGGCGAAATTTTTCCGCTAGATTTAGCGGGGAAATTTTTCCGCTAGATTTAGCGGGGAAATTTACCCATAATGCACCACGCGGTTACGCCGACGGCGACGCCGACGCCGACGGCGACGGCGACGCCGCTCAAGCCGGCAACGGGCCCCTAAGAGCTGCGCTCTAAAACGGTGGTGGACGAGGGTGTGGGAAAGGGAAACAGGCAGTTGGCATCACCTTATGCGAAGCGGACATGGAGGCATACTAGTTTTATCAGCTGCCACGAGTCTACCACCAACAAGGGTTGCTGGTGTTAGACTGGTGGCAGCTCATAAACCCCGTTTGCTCTACTGACGTCTAACTCCTAGTTAGCTCAATTGGTAGAGCGCTCCACTGGAAATAGAGAGATCCTTCGTTCGATACCAGGACCAGGCGCGTTTTTTCGGTCGTGCACCAGTCACCTAGACCTGATTGGAGATTTATGTCTGCCCATCGTCTTCCTCGTTCCTCTTCTCCAGGGATTATTGTCATCGCCAAGAGGCCCTGGGTTTGATTCCTGGTGAGCCTGTGTTAATTTATTGTCTGAAAAAATGATTTTCCTCGTTGCCTTACTTATGTGACTGTGGTACTCAGACCGGTCGTGCTGGCAAGCCCTACCATGGTGTACGTGCGGACGGATGGACGGATGCCGGTACGGACGAATACATTTTTGGCACTAGAAGGTTCTGCTTTAAAGCATTTCAAATATTAAAATACATGTGTCGTTCAAATTAGGTTTGGCGTTTGGTTAATCGCGCCTATGTTTGCGCAGTTTGTGCGTCAGCTCGGCTACATGCCTCAAGAATTAGGCAAGCTCTCCTGGATGACGGGACGGCAGCTCATGCACCACATGGCCAGGATGCGCCGGATTCCTGCAGCGGTCATCTATAACGTTGTGAACCAGGTCATGTACATGCTGGATCTTTTCGACGATGCCGACAAGCCCATCGGACATTTCAGGTATATCTTTTATTTTCTCATCTCTATTTCCGCCACCAAACAAATAAACACAATATAATAGATAAAAAACAGTGTATATTTGCGATGCTTTGCTACAGACTACGTCGAAAGGAGAAATCATTGCTTGTCTCCCGTAGTCAATTACAGGTTATGAAATTTCCTCCCACCTCTTGCAGAGCAAACGCTGGAGAGGAAGCGACCTCCTCTCCGACATTCACTTTAATAAAGTGGAAAGAGGTGGGAGGAGCCTCTAGTTTACTCTTCACTTGCCACCGACTAGTGTACTTGAACAGCACGCTTGTTAGGACTATTTTAATGATAATTTCTGGCGGCCCTCTCGCGCGTCGAGCACAGTCACACTGAGTAAGTTGGCGCTTGCTTTCAGCCATTTCCGCGCAGGTGGGCAATAAGGAGACGTGAACGGCACATTAACTTGACTTTAACGCGACCCGAGCATATGTGAGCTATAATGGGGGGGCATGCCCCCGGCAGCGCATGTACACCCGCCGGCAATATGAAGATGAACACTTCACCTGGTTTCTTGCCTGTTTTACGGGTCCCTAAAGCTATATTAACTCTCGACGTCTCAAATGGTACGTGGCCAAGGGTCTAAACTTTGCGTTCTAGCCCTCTTCTGGAACAGAGCTTGTTCCAAAACTTGCAGGATGTCAAGAACAAGAAGAGGGCTGTTCACCTTCATATCGCTCACGGGTGTAAGGGCGTTTTGATGTGGTGATCGAAGTTCTGACAGGGAAGGGATGACTAGACAAATTGAGAAGAACGAGAAAACTGCTACCGCCTTCCAAAGAAAATCGAACTCAGGGCACCAACGTTTTGAGCCCGGCGATGAACCACTACGCCGACGGGAAGTCTCGGGATGCGGATTTATTGTGTGCCCCTATCCTTATAAAGTGCGTGTCGGGTCAAGGTCCGAGGCACTTTCTGGACGTGTCGCAGACATCTCATCTGGAAAGAAGAACGAGCGGTATGAAGATAACATGACTGAGCAGAAGCTGCGACGTGATGAGTTTGTCTATCTTGAATGGGTGAAGATGTACAATATTCGATAACTAGTTACCCGATTATGGGTTTGTCGCAATTTAATAGAACGCATGTGAATGTAATCTACAGCAAAGAACTGTAGAAATACAGTCGCGATTTTATAATCTTTATTTGTTCTTGTTTCCCACTATATACAAAGTGTATTTGGTATGATCAGTGGAATATTTATTATATTTATTACCCATTTTGTGCTCGTTTTGCAATCATTTAATAATGACATACCCGTAAGAAAAAATTCATCGTACAAGGGACGTACCACATTGATTTACCATTTATTTTTACGCTGCAGATACCGGTCACTTAGGGGTCTGTACATATGTCAACATTCTCGACAGACTGACCTTGGTGCCTAGTGCCCTTGCACTGTCTGTGTAGCTGCCTCTCTATGCCTTGCTGGAACCACTTTTCTAAGTGCCTTGCACCCATGCCTGGAACGATGCTTTCAGCTTATTGATCACCTTGAGATATCGTCTTTGCAGGGAGTCTTTCCTTGCCACTGAACAGGTAAAAACACGTGGGGGCTGCCGTGCCGGGCTGTGGCCGGCGGTCAAACCGCACGGCCCACCAGCGACGGCAAGCAAGCAACTGAGCCAACTGAGCGTCCAGAGCCGGGAACCAAAAAGCATGTTTATCTCACGAGGCAATGGCTTTTTACAGAAGACGTGGGCACAGTGTTCGCAACCCAATTATCGAAAGTGCCCTAACTTGGCACTCACGCCGCCCACAACATCTCCCCCCTTAAGAATGTCTGAGAATGTCCCGAGCACCTTAGCTGTGAAAAAAAAAAAAACAGTTTTACAGATAGTGTCTCTTGGGAGCAACCACTTGTCTCCCAGAACGGGTCGTGTAGGCTTGGCCTGTGTCATCACCACGAACACCTGGTGGTAACGCCGGACGAGGCACATCACAATAAGGGGAGTCGCCAGGTCCCCCCGAGGCCGAACCATCGCCGGAAGCTGGAGTTGCAAAGGGCGTCGAAGATGCGCTCCTGTCACTGGGTCAACGACATAAGACCTCAGGCGTTGAGCCGGGCTTAAGGCAGTGCCACGCAGCCTCTCGGGTTCAACCCAAACTCGAGTGCCCTGTTAAAGTCTTGGAAGAGCACGGGCTCGATGACGGCTGTTGAAGTCTGCTGTCTGTTTCCTACGGTAGCCGGAGTCTCGGGTGACAACCAGGTCTCGTCCCGGATTAAGAGGCTGTATCTGCTCCTTCCTCTTCTGAACCCGCGTTCGAAGCTGGCAGCCCATCAACAGCTGTGTTGGGCTGTAGCCGGTGACACCTTGCGTGTCTCTGTAACTGAGGAGCGCCAAGTACGGGTCCTTGGCCTTGCGAAAGAGGTTCTTAATGGTTCGAACCATTCGTTGCACTTCACCGTTTGACTGGGGGAAGTTTGGGCTACTGGTCACACGTGCGAAGCAGCAGGAGCTTGCGAATCCGCAGAACACCAGCGTAGCGACAAAACTGGGGGACCGTTACCAGACCGCAAAGTCTTGGGGATTCCGTGACGATCAAACATACTCTTGAGGACGTCAATGACCTTCCCTGCTGTAGTGCTTCCTAGCGTCGCCCGGGGTACCGGGAACAGTAGTCAACTAGAAGAATGAAGGTTTTGCCGTTCAAGTGGAAGAGGTCGACACCGAGGACTTCCCTCGGAAGGCACGGGCTCTGGACTTGCAGCGGTTGATACCTTGATGGCCTTCGTGGATCAAGGCTAGTATCGTCGGGCGGAGTGCTGCTGGGATGACGATACGGGTTCCCTTCAGCAGAAGACTATTGTAGACTGAAAGTTCTTCCAACACTGGTGCATACATTGAACGTGCGTAGGTAACTTTCCCTTGGACGCCAACCACCCTGGAAAGATGAGATGTGGGTACTGCATTCACCCTCGGATGCTTGAGCCATCTTGAGATCTTCTATGGAAGCTGAAAGCACCTCAGAGGAGCCGTCCACTTTTTCTGCTGCGAAAAGCTCGATGGCGTCCAGCTCCCCCGGCGCGACGATGGCCTTGCAAGGGATTCGAGACAGTGTGTCGGCTGTGACTAGTAGTTTTTCAGGAACGTGCAGAATTCGGAATCGATACGGCATGAGTTTTTGCCGCAACCGGTGAATCCGCAGTGGCACGACGTCGAGCTACATCTTTCCGAAACGGGAGACCAATGGCAGATGATTCGTCTCAACATCAAAGGAGATGCCTTGCCCATACTCACTGTATCTCTGTACAGCCCAGGTAACCGCCGAAGCCTCCTTCTCCACCTCTCTGTAGTGCTGCTCAGTTGTTCTCAGGGATCTTGGCGCAAAGGCGACAGGTCGACTTTCTCCTGTTGGTTGAGTCAGGAGCAACACCGCGCCTAGGCCGAAGGAGCTTGCATCCGCTGAGACCGTAGTCGGGTAGGCTGGGTGGTAATTTGCCACACAACGGTTGGACGTCAGCAGCTTCTTGAGAGCATCAAAGACGACTTCCTGTTCGTACGATCAGGTCCACTCCATGTTCTTGCTAAGCAGAGCCCTGATCGGCGCTGTCACTTGGGCCACGTGTGGGAGGAAGCGGGCCAAGTGATTCACCATGCCGAGAAGTCGGCGCACCCCAGCGACGTCCGTTGGTGGGTCCATGTTTTGCACGGCGGACAGCTTGCCGGGATCAGCCCTTATCCCTTCCGCTGAGACAACAACTCCCAGGACTGACACTTGGGACACTCCAAAACTGCACTCCTCCCTTTTAAGGGTAACGCCGGCTTCGGAGAGACGCAACAGCACCTGCTGCAGGCGTTGGCCTTGTTCCTTCTTCGTTCTGCCAAATACTAGGACGCCGTCGACCATGTTAACTGTTCGGTCTAGGCCCTCTGAAATCCAAGTTATCTGTCGCTTGAAAAACTCTGGGGCCGACGTGATGCCAAATGGGAGGCGGCAAAAGCAATAACGCCGAAACGGCATAATGAATGCCGGAAACTCTTGAGGGTCCTGCGAAAGCTTGACCTGATAGAAGCTTCAAGTCGCATCGAGCTTCGAGAAGACTGCTGCATCCCCCAGAAGTCCCAGGACTTCATCGACAGTGGGGAGCACATGGCGGCCTCTCAGGACAACTTAATTTAGCTTGGTAAGGTCAACACAGAGGCTGGAGCCTCCCGACGACTTTGGAACCACGACCAGTCCAGCGCACCAAGGTGTGGGGTTGGTGACACGCCGAATGACTCTGTCTTGCTCCAGTTTGGCCAGCTCCGTTCGCACCCCCTCGCGCAGGGGTATTGTAATTTCGTCCAAGAACTTGACCACACCAAGAGCCTGGATGGCTGGGAACCAAAACAGGGGCACTGAGAGGGACTTGATCACGTACAGACGCCGATGACAGGTCTTGCCTCGCCATAGGAGGGTAGCCAAAAAAAACCAAGAGTAGCGACTGGTCTCCCGGTCCTGCCAGCAGGTCGTCGACCATGTGCAGATGACGAGGTCAGTTGGGAAAGGCTTTCGAAACAGCAGACACTTCCGCGCCGGAATCTACCTTATATCTCGCCGTGTAGTTGTCGACAGTGACCTCGACGTACTTGGCCTTGGCTTTCTCAGTCTCGAGGATTGCGTGGAGCTGTAAGGTCGCCACCTTCCTCTGCTTTCGTTTACGAGCGCGACAGACATCCGCGAAGCGGCCCTTCTTCTTGCAGTAGTTGTACAGAGACTGCCGAGCAGGACAGTCGGAGCGTGCATGGGGTGCTCGACCGCAGTAGCTGCAGAAACCCCAGTCGTTATCGCCACGTGAAGACACGGCTGACGCGTCGTCTGACCGTTTCGTTGTCTTGCGCTGGTGCGTCGGACCACGACGAGACTTCGTAGCGTCGACGTTGACGATGAGCTGGCCTGACTCACTCCCACGAGCAGTCTTTTCTTTTTCGGTGTCTTCGGCCTGCCTTGCCTGTGTCCACGCGTCCTTGAGGCTCAGCTTGGCGTTCTGGCAGAGTTGGTCGGACAGGCGTCCGTCGCAAAGACCGACAACGAACCGGCCGCGAACCAGACGTTCTTCGACATCGGGGGACGGGTAGTTGCGCGGCTTGACAAGCTTGCAGAGCTCGGCGTGGTAACTGTCGACGCTCTCTCCCGGCTGCTGTACCCACTTGTGGAACCTCGAGGACTCGTACACCTCGTTGAGAGGGTGCACAAAGTGTTCCGAGAAGCGTTTGACTACCGTGTCGTAGTCATTCAGGGAGGCGGCGTTCAAGCCGAACGTGTCGAGAAGGACCCGAGCTTCGGGGCCCATACAGTAGAGAAGTGTCCGGACCTGAATATCAGGTGGTGCCTGGCGAAGCCCGGAGGCATAAGCGTAGCCCTCGAATTACGTAAGCCACGCAGTACAAGAATCGGTGTTGTCGAAGTTGAAAGCAGCGGGCTGACGTAGGGAGACGCCCACCCACGTTGGAGCTTCTTGCGAGTTTGCCATGAGAACGGAGGGACTTAGGCCTAATGCGCTGTCATGAGGGCCGAAGAACATCGGCCTGGTGGACTGCTTCTGGCACTATGTCGTGCCGGGCTGTGGCCGGCGGTGAAACTGCACGGCCCACCAGCTACGGCAAGGTAGCAACTGAGCCGACTGAGCGTCTAGAGCCGGGAACCAAAAAGCATGTTTATCTCACGAGGGAATAGCTTCTCACAGAAGACGCGGGCGCAGTGTTCGCAACCCAATTACCGAAAATGTCCAAGCTTGGCACTAGCGCCGCCCACAACAGGGGCCAGGTCATGCCAGGCCATATCCATGCACAACTAAATGTCCCACTGGTCGTACAACGCGTCAGAACGACGACCGTACTCGGTCAGGTGCTGGTCAATCACGGCCTTACTCAATGCACATGACAGTGATTGGCGGGCGCTTCATCGGGTGTGGCCGTCTTTCTGACAAGTCATACGACCTGTCGGGTGTTTGTTCGTACATGAGAACGGCCTGATTGGGCCCCCAGTGGTTATAACCTGTGACGTGGCATCAAACAAACCCTGCGAGAATATAATTTTGTTAGGTATAGCTGTCAGCTCGAACATAAACACGAAAACAAAAAGGATAAAAAGGGACATGCACACCGATGCGTACACACCGCTGTGCGAACAGCGGTGTGTATGTCGCTTTCTATCCGGTGTGTTTTATTAGTTCTTTGCTAGCTGACACTTATACCTAGCATGTACCAGCTAGCTCAACTTACGACTGTATTGCACAGTAAAAAACAAAAACGTGCTCGACGTTTTTGATTACAGATCGTTAATGCCACAATATGTGCAATAAAGTAAACAAACCAGCACAATGCGCACACTGTGGAGTGTCTTCACCCCCAAACATTGTACGAGTAAAAGAGATAAAATAAAAGAAAGAGGGCTCAATCCAGAGCGGATTCAGCACAGTCATAGCCTCCTATGAACGGGGAAAGCCTGCGCTTTTGACGCCAGAACTGGCCGCCAATTTGGGAGAGACAAAGCGACAGAACGTCAAATAAAGAGTACAAGAATAGGATTGTTCTCCGGGAAAGGAGGACACTTTCCGAAACTCAGTTCTATTTCTCTCATTCTTTTTTTAAACTAAATTTTCCTGGAGCTTTTTTAACTTACGACGTAACATCATCTCTCACTACAACATCGCATCCTCACACTGCGACTAGGAAAGAAGGATAAGGATTAGGCCTTTTTAGAGCGCATCTCTTAGGCGCCTGTTTCCGGCTTGAGCAGTGTCGCCGTCGGCGTAATTGCACGCGTTGCGTATGGGACGTCACAGACCTACACAGCAACTCAATTTCCCGCTAAATTTAGCGAAGAAACTGAATTGGTGTGCAGCTCTGTGACGTCCCATAATGCAACACCGCGGATTCACTATCCCCCGCTAAATTTAGCGGTAAAACTAACGTCGCACGAGCTCAACCCCAATTCAAATTCCCCGCTAAATTTCGAGGAAAAATTAATTTGTGCTTAAGTCATGTCGCGTCAGTTTTTCCGCTAAATCTATCGGAGGAACTGAATTTGTTCATAGGTGACGTGACACAAAGTCATAAGACGTCATTTTCCCCGCTAATTAAAACAGGAAACTGAACTGGGGTTGTAATGACGTGCCATCAATTTCTCAGTTAATTTTAAAAGGGAAGGTGTGGGCGGAGGGGAGGGTACGGAAGGAGGTGGAGAGGGTACGAAGGAAGAGGGGAATACCCTCCCTCCGTACCTTTCCTCCTCCTCAAGAGCTGCACTCTAATTTCGAATTCCAGAGATGGGTAAACATCTCATTTTTTTAGAGCGCAGATCTTAGGCGCCCGTTTCAGTCTTGAGCGGCGTGGCCGTCGGCGTAACTGCGTTTTGCATGCAACGCGCATGCAAAGCATGCAAGCGGCGTAACCGCGCGTTGCATTATGGGCAGGTTCCCATAATGACGTCACGAGGGTTACCCTCGTCAGGGTTACGAGGGTTACTCTCACGAGGGTTACGAGGGTTACCCTCACGAGGATCACGAGTGTTACCTTCACGAAGGTCATGAGCGTTAACGTCACGAGGGTTGCGAGGGTTAGTTACCCTCAAAAGGGTTACCCTCACGAGGGTCACGAGGGTCGCTGTCACGAGGTTCACGAGGCTTATGAATTACCCTCACGTAACCCCCGCCTGAGGTCACGTGGTTCCCCCTGAGGTCACGTGATCCCCACCCTGAGGTCACGTGATCCCCACCCTGGTGTCACCTAACCTCAGAGCTGTCACTTAACCCTTCCATCCTCCTCCTCAAGAGCAGCGTTCCAATCTGGCGTTACAGGGAGTTGTAAACGGCTTTTATTTTTTTTTTGTTTCCCCCACAAAATGCAAAACCAAACGAGGAGTGGTTCGCCTTGCGACACCTATGCGGCACTGCCTTCAATATGCTCTCCTTCTTACCTACCACATCCGCCTCCCTCTTTTTTTGCAAGTTGGCTGTATAAAGTACTGTCACCGAGGGTGCAAGCTTTCTCTCTTTGTGGTAGGCTATGGCACGGTAAAGCGGTGCATAGTCCCAGAAAAAATGGTGATGTTAAGGGAGATCCTTTTTCAATTTCCTCTATATCCTTCAAAAAGAACGACAGCTGCTCCACAAAAAAAATGCACTTCAAAAAAAAAAAAAATCAGCTTCATTGTATTTCTTAAAACGAGCCAAACGTGCTCTCTGTTTGCAGCTCGGGGGCCCTACGCAAGCTGTCGATGTCCTTGGCAGTCTTGGGAGCGCCACAGGTGCTGCTGCTCGACAATCCGACCCAGCATCTGGACCCCGTGTCGAGAAAGCGCTTGTGGCACACCATCATCACCTTCGTCAAGAAGACGCACGCATCTGTGCTCATCGCCACAGACGAGTGAGCTTTAACCTCCGAGACCGGAAATTGATGTATTTAGGATCTGTCACGACTAGGGATGTCGCGAATGTTCGTAGGACCTTGAGGTTCGACTGGTCTAGCGACTTTTCACATGCTTAGCAAACTTCGACAAAGTTAGGCTTCAAAGAAAAAATTTAACTTCTTGGGGAAACAAAAAGTAGGAACATGCTTAGAACTTGAGATAACAAGAAAGAAATTTACACAACATTAAAACAAAGAAATAAGCATTTCAAAATATTGCGGATTTCAGCGAACTAAGGAGGGCACTCTGGTTAGGCAAAATGTCGGAAGAGAAGAGGTCAGTTTCATCATTTAGCACGCCAAACAGCTTAGACGTCTAGCGTTGCATCGTGCAGTACATTTTCGCTATAAAAATAAAGTGCTTTCTGGTCTTTAAATACCTTGCTTTTTGCGTATCTGTTACCCGAGCCGCCACCAGTCGACGCGTCCTCCGAGACACCATTGCTGACCTCCACATATGATCGCGCGCCTGCTCTCCCAGTTTACAGAGCCATCGTTTGCGGCCTCTAGTGTGCGATACGCGACAGCAGTAGGACGCGTAGACTGCGTCTAGCGAGAAAAAAGTTATCAGTGCTAGTTGCTTTCGAAGACTGCAGTGACCACGTTGGGTTCAGGAACCACGATGCAGCGCCCATGGACTGTCCAGGGCTCTCAAAGAAAGCCGTTGTCGCAGCAGCACTTTTCTGTCTGAGCCTTTTCTTCATATCTGAACTTGCCACAAACTACAATTGCCAATGTGTCAAAAAAAAAAAAATCCTGAATTGAGTTTATGTTTTACGTTGGGAAGTAATACCTTTTCACGATGTCTTCGGAGAGCTCCTCATGGAATTGTGCGCTCAAAAAAACCTCCGGGGCGTAAGAACTAGCAGCAGCACCCCCTAGCAATTCGAATTTGCACGGGAGCTGCTGTGACGACACAATCGGAGACAGAAAAAGAAACCTGAGGCATTTTCTGCTGACGGAGAAACGTCTGCTTCGATCGTCCGACTGCGTCGTTACAGTCGCTCTTTCTTGTGTTCATGCATTAAAAGAAAAATAATGTAATCATTTTACTTATCTTGTTCTTCTTTCTGTCCTTTTGAGACTTCTCTCAGTAGTGAACATGCAGAGCAAACAAAAGTTTTAAATTGTATTTGGTGTCCCTTAGGTTACTATATGCTGAAGCCTTTGTAATCAATTACTTACCAAAATCATAGAAGTTTCAGTGACTGATCGAATTGTTGTTGTATTTGAACAATAACGTTTACAGCTCCACCCAGCACAGCCATGGAATGCTGAAGTAAACAAAACCTGCCAAACAAACATCGAGCTGTTTATTTATGTTCTTATTTGTAACTGACTGCAAACCCGTAGATCTTATCAGGATGGGCAGAAACTGGGAGAAAGAAATCGCACGAACCTCAAGCTAAAAAATCACTGCCGCTATAAAAGCAAGCATCGTTATCTGACGCTGCAAATATTAGGAAGTTTTAGGGACCCGTTTTTGCACATCCGATACGGTACGATAGGCCCTGCGGTACAAACTGCGCATGCGCGAGTCTTCTGCGGTAGCGCATGCGCAGTTCGTACCGGAGGGCCCATCGTACAGTATCGGATGTGCAAAAACCGGTCCCTAAAACTCGCTATTACGATTGTACACTTAGGCAAACAACGCATAAGATATAAAACGTCACTATCAAATAGGTTTACATGGTATTCGCCGTGGCGAAATTATGTGACAGTTATAAATCTTCATCTTAAACAAAAAATGCACACAAAAGCGCACTCAAGCAAACAGCACAATACATTAAAAAGTGTAATAATATAATCACATTTCTATAACGCTTTCTAGTGATGATGCCAAATTTGAAACATAAAACAATTCAGCCGACGTTGCTAATGGAACAAACCAAGCAGCATTAAACGTACAAGTCACTGGGTTTTTTGTTTTTTAAAGATTGGTTCCGAGATGACAGAACATGTACAGAAAAATGGCAGACGCTATGATGGTGCCCTTTTGACGTCTGATTGGTGCTATAAGCTCGTATTGTCAGCTGCATCTAAACTTAAGGTGAAACAAAGCATAGGGACATTATATACCACTCATTTTCTCTCCGCGGAAAGTATGAGAACATAAATATATTAGTACGCGCCAAATATGAAGTTAAAAAAATAAAGCTGCAGTCCACGCTCTAAAGGTGGTTGGGCAGCGAAGCTTTGGTATCACCTCCAACGATTGCCCACTGCACTATAGACCCTTTTTATGGCAAACGTCACACGGGTGGTGCTCCAGCCTTTTACGTGCCAGAGAACTCCCGGTTAAAAAAAATAACAAAGCCGCTTGAACACCACCACTTGAAACGTCGATGAAACGTTTAACCGCCGATTCTCCAGGTCAACACCAAAAGAAGGGAAAAGTGCGAGATCTGTTAAAATGTTTCGACTGGTCTTGTAAGTCAACGTGCCTTCCCCAAGATGCAATATTGTACAGGCGAAAACCCTCGTTAAATCTCAAACTTCGCTGTTCGTCTGGAATTTATGCTTTCCAGCACTGGTGACATAAGCAAGCTCAACAGGTTTGCAAAGACGGTGCGACCGGGAGTCGCTTGGGACTCAAGCGGCAGTTCATGTTTGGCGAACAGCAAAAGGGTCTATACCAAATGAATTACTTAAGAAAAGCAAATGCACTGTACCGAAACCTGTTTATAAGTTTTTCGTTTTTTTTGTAAGATTTAGAGATCTGTTTAAAAAATGCCGTGAAAGTTGCACTTACGCGGTTTGTGCGGTTGATTTATACGGCCAGGGGGACATTATGTGGGCGGTAATCTTTGCGATAAATCGGCTAATTATTTAAAATTCGTTAATTAACTTTTTAATTAGTGAAAAGAGTTATATGATTCCAATTAGAAACTTACTGAGGGCCATCAAAAACCACTAAACCAACTTTAGTCGATAGTTTAAATGTGGAGATAAGTCATTGTTTATATTAAGCAAGTTAGTTTTAGCGAGGCTTCAGTATAAAATTACAACAATTCTCCTGTGAGAACTCTTTTATGGGCAGCCGATGTATATGTGTTGTTTACAGCGGAGCTGTTAAGGGCTAGTTTTCCGAGGATCGTGTCCGTCCTCAAAGGACTTGATGACACAGAACTATTGACAGCTACCGCCATGTATGCGCGACGGCGGCAACCAGAAAACCGGCAAGCTGGTTCTCTGGTTGCCGCCATCGCTCATAGGTAGCAGGAACCTTTCGAGCCTTTTCACTCTGGCTTGCCGATTAGCGGCCAGCTTCGCTGGTCTTCCTTCTTCACCAAAGTAGAAAGGCTAAAAGATTTTTTTCTCGGTTAGCTTATATGTCGTGTTGCATTGAACAAGTATTTTTATGATCTGTGACCGGATGCATAAATCGAAGACCCGCTCGCAGCATCGAAGAGGCCGAGGCCATCGGAAAGCGCACCATGTTCCTGCACCGTGGTCGCGTGCGACCCTCGACGCTGTACGAGACGCGCCACGCCGAGACGGGGTACGAGCTCACGTTCTCGCTGGCGGGGCTGGAGGGCCTGACTGACGCCGCCGAGCAGGCGATAGCCGACGAGATGGAGGGGCTCTTCCCTGAACGGGACATTTTTGAAACGAGGCTACAGGTGAGCTGGTCGAACATGGTTCATGTGGTCTTGCAGACAGCTAGGGCTTTAAAATTACTCCGAGAGTTCCCTTAAAACAAGGTTGCAGACAAGCACGTTAAAATGCACAGTGCTCACCTAATTTGCATAAAACGCGCGAACTTTCTTTTTTTGGAGGAGCGGGAAGGAGAGGGGGAGCGCTCATTTTGTGCGCATAAGCTCACGCTACGTAAATCCTGGCATAGCCGAGCTAAGCCACCGCAATTTTTGTATACAATATTGGCATAGAGGTTTCACCGTTGGCTGAACCAACATTGGCATCCATGCAGCGCTCCCGCGGCAGTAGTGAAACTGGTTCATGACGTAGCGCTCATTTAGTGAGTGGACTCTTCTGCCCAAGCAGGGGAGTCCGCTCTTTCAAAGCCGGAATAGACCCTAGAGCCTGAAACACAGCAGCGATTTCACCGGCCGAGGAATTTATGCTAATCGCCACCCCGCCGCACTACAATGATTAGACGTCTACCGAAAACCCGGTGTTTACCGACCAGCCGCGATTACGACGTTAAGCGGGCACATATCCGCTAGGGATGTTCCATTGAGTTCCACGTCTAAAGGTGTCTTTCGATTGCCGTCAGGTTCCACGAGATAAGATACAATACGCGTTTTACGTACAAGTTAGGAGAGAACTGTACCTCAGGTACGCATCAAGGCACTCATGTCAAGGCGTAGATAAATAGAGACGTATATACATATGTCCGAGTATCTTGCTACTTATACTCCGTTTGACTTTGAGTGTGAGCGTAGCAGAAGATACAAGAGCGAGCTCCGGGCATTCAACGTCCCTGCCAATCGCGCGCTCTCGTGCAGTGCTAGCACTGCCATAGCCTGCTCTATAGACGATTGCAAGCTGGGCGACTGGCCGCCGCCATGCCTCTGCTCGAGCAGGCACGCCCTTGCGATTACGAGCTTGCTAAAGCTACGTTCACTCGCGCGTCACTCGCGCGTTGCACGCGCTTGCACGCATGGGGCACCACTTGTGGCGCCATGCTTGCAATTGTCTATACTCACAAAGACTGGCAGTTCGACGAAGGAGCCATAGATTGCACGGTCACAGATTTGGAGCGCGAGGATCGGATAGCACAGAGCATGAAAGAGCCATTTCTTGGGGAACCTGAAGTCCCTGTATCTGGGAAAAGTGGCGCATTCTTTTTCCTTCTCCTCTAAAAACCCTCCTTACCCCACCTCTAACTTCCGGTTTGCGACGGAGGCGCCCTCTGGAATTTCCCAAGCGTCTCGACGTCTCGGTCAACTGAAGCGGTCGAGAGGCCGATCGTGTGGACTTTTCTCGTCAGACAA